TAAACATATGCTGCCCATAGACTTCAGTGTAAAATTCAAGGTGCAATTAATTGGACAATAATCAAAATTTTGTAAATTCCTTTGGTGGAGCATTTTTAGTTGATAACATTTTCATGCTACCATAATTAGAAATATTGGACCATTCATTTATTAGGTACAAAATATGGTCGATATACATTGAATACCTTAATGTTTTGTTTGCAAGGACAGTATTCATTTTTGATGCCCATTATATAATTTTTATCATTGAAATCCACCTGCTCATTTGTCTAGAAAACTGACATTAATCGCTGTAAATTCTACATATTTCAGTGAGTATTTGGGATTCTTAACAAGTTTTACAGCAGCTTTAATGAACGGTTTAATTTCACTCTAGTTTACTGATTCTTTACCATTCAATTTTAATGCAGTGTGGCGAATACCCTTGTTTTCCAGCTTCTCACAATGAAACTATGTGATGGAAAGTGGTCACATAAACTGTTATAAATTCATCAAAATTCAATAATGAGAGAAAGTCAAGCTTAATGCCATATGACATCTGTATTGTATGTCATAGAGTTCAGGACATAATTTATTGAACAGCCCTTGTAATTTGTACATCAGTAGGGGGACAAGAGGTCATCTTATATAGTACATCATTAAAACTAGTGATCACACTATTTTGAACGACAATGAAGAAACCGGAAGACACTGTATATTTTACATCAATAAAAAGACCAGAGGTTATCTTATATTGTAAGTCAACAGGGAGATCAGAAGACACCCAATATTTTACATTAATATTGAGACCAAAGGACTCCTTATTTGGTCACCTGAATCAGTTTTTTTTCTGGCGCCGTGCGCTGTGCATTATGCGTTAACATTCGAACATTTTCAGCTTTTCTCTGCAATCCCTCAACCATTTACAACCAATTTTTGTATAAAGCATCTATGGGTGAAGGGGAGACTGTTTTAAATCATGGTCCCTGCCCTCCATCCCCTAAGGCAAGAACGTTTGGGGGGCGGAACTACTACAATTGATGAAATCTTTAAAAATCTTCTTTACTCATTGACATCTAATTGCCGTCTAACTATTGGCATAATTATTATAAGCATTTACTCCTCTACCAAAATTGTAAAATTCATTGTCCCAGGGTCAGGGGCCCTGGGGATAGAACATGGCTATAAAAAGTTACATCGTGAAATGCATTAACTAACTACATGCATAGATATGATGAAGAGGGATATTCTCTCCAAAGTTATGAAATTCGTTACCCAAAGGTCAGGGGTTCTGGTGTTACGGTGGGGCTATATAAATTGTAAAGTTAAAATTCATTAATTCTTCAAAACAAATCTTCCTCTCTTCTCCTGGATATTAATTAAACTAACTACATATAGATATGATAAGAAAGGGAGCCTCTTCCAGAATTTTAAATTTCAAGGCCCCTGGCTCATGGGTACCATTTAGGGGTCGGGGATCTAATTAAATACTGTAATTGAATTAATGCTTTGAAATTTCTTATTTGGTGTAAACCAAAATTTTTTATGAACAAGGGTGCATTTTTTTTCAAAATTGTGAAATATTTGATTCCAAGATGAGGGTGTTTGTGGTCAATGGGCACTACTTATTATTGCTAATTATAACTGATTATTTGAAATGTTCTTTTTGTTCCCCTACGCTCTATATAGGTGTTAAGTAGCCAATTTAAGCATGCTAAGTATATAGATATGATGAGCAATGGTGCTTTTAATTCAAAATTGAGAATGCCATGGCCTCTGGTTCAAAGCGCGAACCAAATTCAATTGTTTTAAAGTTTTTACATGATGTTCAGATGACCTATAAGACCCTTAGGCCTCTTGTCGTGTTCTTATAAGAGAACCTCTAGTATCCCGTTAATATGCTTTTTATCTATAACCTTTGGTCCGCCGTTTTTTTCTTTTTAGATGTCTTCCTATTTATGTTAAATGCAAGGTGACCTCTGGTCCCCCTTGTGATGTAAAATATAAAGTGACCTTAGGTCGATCCCAATAATTATCAACAACATAGGGTGACCTCGAACCCCCTTTTGATGTATAAGATGACCTCGGTTTCCCCTTTTTGGTGCACAATATAATCTGACGTCTGGTCTTGTACAGCATAAGATGACCTCCGGTCCCCTTTCTGTTGTACAATATCAAGGTGACAGTTAGTCTCCATAATGAAATAAAATATAAGGTGACGTTAGATCAACCTCTTGATGTACAATATTAGTTTACCTCTGGTCCATCTAGTGACAAACGTTAAATCTGACCTAAAGGTTCTGGTCCCCCTACCGATGTACAATATAATGTGACCTCTGGTCTTCTTATTGATGTTTAATATAAGGTGAACTCTGGTCCCCCTACTGATGTACAATATAAGATAACCTCTGGTCCCCCCACTGATGTAAAGTGCAATATAAGGTGTCCTCTGGTCCCCCTACTGATGTACAACATAAGGTGTCCTCTAGTCCCCCTGCTGATGTACAAATAAGGTGACCTCTGGTCCACCTACTGATGCACAATATAAGGTGACCTCTGGTCCCCCTGCTGATGTACAAATAAGGTGACCTCTGGTCCCCCTACCGATGTAAAATATAAGGTGACCTCTGGTACCCCTAGTTATGTACAATATAAATTGACCTCTGGTCCCCCTACTGATGTAAAGTGCAATATAAGGTGTCCTTAAGTCCTCCTATTGATGTACAATATAAGGTGTACTCTGGTCCCCCCATTGATGTAAAGTGCAATATAAGGTGTCCTCTGGTCCCCCCACTGATGTATAATATAAGGTGACCTCTGGTCCCCCTACTGATGTAAAGTGCAATATAAGGTGTCCTCAGGTCCTCCTATTGATGTACACACAATTTAAGGTGTCCTCTGGTCCCCCTACTGATGTAAAGTGCAATATAAGGTGTCCTTAAGTCCTCCTATTGATGTACAATACATGTATAAGGTGTACTCTGGTCCCCCCATTGATGTAAAGTGCAATATAATGTGTCCTCTGGTCCCCCCACTGATGTATAATATAAGGTGACCTCTGGTCTCCCAACTGATGTACAGTACAATAAAAGGTGTCCTCTGGTCCACATACTGATGTACAGTATAAAAATCAGGTGACCTCTGGTCCTCCTACTGATGTAAAATATAAGGTGACTTCTGGTCCCCCTACTGATGTACAAAATAAGATGACCTTTGATGTTCAATATAAAGTGACCTCTGGTCTTATTAACTTTTTGTTACCTCTGGTATCCGCATAAAGATTATGGGAACAAGCGGAAGTCTTCTATTGTACATCAAGAGGTATTTCATACTTCACAAATTGTAGTATATGAATGAGACAAAGGTAATCCTATGTTCATTATATAACGATGTGAATGAAAGTTGTGATTAGGCAATAATTTAAAATCATGGTATATCTAGAATTATTTTTCATATCAATAAAAGGAAAAGTTGCTACTCTAATTTTTTGACAAGGAAAAAAAGTGCACAATTTCTCCGAATTCTCTAAATGTATGTACAATGTAATTGGAATTTGGAGGATTAGTTAACTTGCTTGTCTTCTAATACAGTATATGTATCCCAAGAGTAAATTACAATTGGTGCATTTCTAAAAGTTTTATTTTTTTAAATGTAGTTTTCATTGGTTTATGAATTTGATGTGTTAATTCCAGGGAAAGGGAAGGAGAACTCCATGCAGCCCCAAACTTCGCAATACGGGGGGGGGGGGTACATCTTCTTTGTAAGAAAAATAAAATCAGGGTTTACTAAAAGTGTTAAAGTGAGGAGGTCGCCTATTGAAGCATGGCCTCATAAGGAAGACAAAGGGGACATTAGATAATTTATTAACGAATAATTATTCCATTATGTTAAAGGATTGGTGAAAAGTCCGAGCGAAATGAAAAGGTAGAGGTGGTAGGGGGCAAGATCTTTATCCTCCCCCTGCTTGTTAGAGATCGGCGAATGCAGAGACTGGACGTCGTTTACTCAGAGTCGCTATAACCTTACATGGAATAATAAAGTCATAGGGGAGATCACAGGTCACCCAACATAATCCATGAATGTTAAACTCTTATATATATCATATATCTTATGATATTGCAGTCAATGTTGCTCAGCACCCCCCCAACCCACCCCCTCCCTCGCCCTTTCTTTTCTGATACCCATCAGATGGTTATTCCTTTGACAAAAATAAATTTTCTGGGATTTTGTTACACTGGAAAGGCGTCACAGTAATACGATTTATTCTATTTTCACTTTACGTATGCAACGCACTACATTTTGTAGCGGAGTAAACAGGCCCGATAGTCGTGAACTGAGCAGGGGACCTAAGGTCCTAGTTGAGCGTACGTTTTATCCTTCTGCAGCAGGCGCAGCCTATTTTAGCCCTCTCCCTGAAGTCCCTTGTGTCATTTTCTATACAAAGAACACTTCAAATTAAAACTTTTGACGACGGTAAAATCAACATTTTCAAATAAATTTCTCTTTGTATTTTGTAATATTATAAAAACTGTGTGATTTCCTCACAAATTATATAATTATTGGACAGTTTTAATTAAAAAACGTGAAATATAATCTTTGAAGATTGTAATTCCCATCTTTTAAACAGAATTAGTTATTTTTCGATACGATATTATTATTGAATATCGATACGTATCGATATATTGATACAGCCCTAGACGCCACCAGGATTGCTGTAGATGTAGGAACCGACCTACATTTTCTGGATGTGTAAACAGGCTTTTTGAGCAAATCCGTTCCCAAGTACTACGTAACTAAATCCTTCTTAAACCTAACTTGCATAGATGTTCGTCTTGGGATACACATTTACCAGAAAAAAATAAAGTAAATTAAAAGTACATGAAGTTTGTGTATTTTTTATTTAAACAAAAAAGTATCAAGTAAAATCATTATTTTTGTGAATACCTATAATATTCTAATACATAAATCATTAGTATTAACAGTTTCAACGAAGGGATCAGTTTCTTTCATCATCTGAAATTTTACATTTGATCAGTGTTAATCGGGATTTTCCATTGTCGTAGAAAATAGCCAAATGGACGAACTGCCCGAATTGCCATGTGAATGAAAGACTGCATTCTGTCCACTAAGCTGAGGTCCCTGGAGGAGATCATCTCGTACGCAAATGATGCCATGAGTGTATGCATTCTTGTGGGTCCCTCAAATACTACTGATGTTTCTGTACCGGTGGGATTAAAGCAGGATCTTCCATCTGTAATGTACAGAAAAATAATGAAATAATTAACTGACTGATTTTGTTGAGTGCATGACATATGAGTAAAAGTGAAATAAGACGGGGGCATAGGAATCTTGTATTTGTATTTTGATCATCACCTAGCAGTATCTGCACAATAATCCTGGTTATGCTAATGTACAGGTATTTATATGTTAGACAAATTCAGAGTTACTGGCAGTAAAGAAAAGTGAAGGTATCCAGGGTTCATATGCATAAAAATTCTTATTCTGCTAAGTATATTCTCAAGTGCCGATTTACCTTAAGCAGAGTGACGTTTTTTACTTAGTACGTCACTTTACGTTGTAAGTGGATTGCATGACGTTTCTTATTCTTACTTATATGTCTTAGAATATGCTTAAAGTTAAGGTTTCGTCAAAGGTCAACATGTCTAAAAAATTATTTTTACAATTGCTCCAAAACTATGTGTGGTATAAAGTCAAAACGTTTACAGTTTTTAAATATATCACTGATTAATAGATAGAGAGTATTACTTGATAATAAATATTTTTAAAAAGACATTTCTTGAGAAAAATTGTATCAGAAAATGTGCATATTTTTAAAAAATGTATCTGCTTCATTCTGTCCTTTTTGTGAAAACCAACATTGTAGAAATAATATATGTTTATCATTGAAGGGCAAGTTGGACGTGAATTGCCTTTGAAAGGCTGTTATTGAAAGCATGACATGTATAAAGACAAGACCCCTATAGAATCCGCCATTTGCAGTGTACTTTCACTTTCAAGTCTTAGCATTTGGACAAAATAAACAGGAAAAACAACTTTCCAGAGGCTATCCAAGTCCAACTTGCCCTTCATTGATAAGCATATTTTGTTTCTGCAATGATGGTTTTCACTAAAAGCACAGAATTAATTAAGTGTATTTTTTTGAAAATATATGCATTTTTAAGAAGAATTTTTCTCAATTAATATCATTCCAAGTATTTTTTTTGTCAAGTGATACTTTCTATATGTTAATCAATAGAAAATTTATAAACTGTAAAAGTTTTAACTTTATACCTTACATAGTTTTGGGGCTATTGTAAAAATAATTTTTTGGACATGTTGACCTTTGACGAAACCTTAAACAACCCCTCACCTTGTCTAAAGTTTTTAAGCATTTTGCTTACCACAGCAAAATGGCTGCAAGACAGCAAAGACAACGTCGTGTTTTTAAGCGGAGATTAGATCCCTTTACGGAATACAATGCTGTGGGACTTATCACACGCTACCGTTTTGATAGACAAGGAATTGAACATATCGGGACGCTGATTGACGATTCCGTTTCACCAGCAACAAGTCGAAATTGTAGCATACCAACTAATTTACAAGTCATGATAGCTCTTCGCTATTTCGCAACAGGAAAAATGCAGTTATGTAACGGGGATGACTTCGGAATTCACCAATCAACTGTGTCTAGAATTGTTCAAAGGGTCTCTACAGCCTTAACTCGACCACATATCATTCAAAGATATAAAATTTCCTACCGACGCTCAGACAATTCACAGGCACCAGACAGACTTTCACGCAATCGCCAATTTCCCGGGAGTGCTTGGCGCTATCGACGGGACCCATGTTAGAATATTGCGTCCTACAGTTAATGAAGAAGAATTTGTTAACAGAAAAAACTTCCACAGTGTTAATGTGCAACTTGTCGTGGACGCACATTGTCATATACTGGACATAGTCGCCAAGTGACCAGGGTCAACACATGACGCAAGAATTTTGCGAGAAAGTGGCATTAGCCAATTATTTCAAACACCCGGACTAATTCCTGTTAAATGTCACCTTCTCGGTGATAGTGGCTATCCGTGCAAAAACTGGATCCTGACTCCCTTCCTTAACCCTGCAACCCAACAGGAAAGAAGATACAATGGGTAAATATGTCTTATTTAATAATGATGTTATACTGCGAACTTTTTTCTCATTATTTTCTGCATCGACATATTTCCAGGTTGATTTACAGTTAGTTACCGCATTATCGCCATTCGATAAAAAAGAAAACAACCAGAAATAGTATACTTTTTCAAGTAAGAACCTACCCTCCCCCTAATTATTGCATACATCTTCATTAATCAATTATTTCAGGCACCTAGCAACAGGGGGGGGGGGGCACTTTTTTTCCCAACATTCCCTTTACTATAGAAAATGTCCAATGAAAAGATGGTTGCCCCCCCCCCCCCCCCGTTTTCTAACACAGTATATTCATAGCAAGGAAATATAGGAAAACATTAGATATATATAGGATTTTCGAGGTTTTTTTCCTTTGCCTGTCAACTTTTTTTAAGTAAAAAAAAATTCTCAGGTTGCCCCCCCCCCCCTTTTCAAAAACGATGCTACGTGCCTGTATTTATTTATTTTTCATTCATAGATCACACAAGGTGACGAGGTGCATTGTTGAGAGAACCATAGGACAATGGAAAAGACGTTTTCATGTATTACATTCTGAGATAAGGTTGTGTCCAGAGAGGGCTTGCAAGATTATTATGGCCTGCGCAGTACTTCATAATTTAGCAAAATTGCTCAACACGCCAATCATTGACGAGGATGGAGAAAGCGACGATGATTCTGATGAGGGCAGTGATGACGATGATGCTGATAACAACAACTGTGTCCCCGACAATCTGGATGGCAGAGCATACAGAAATCACATTACAATGAATCATTTCTAGAGAGGACATTTATTATTTTACCTTTATCGAATATAATTTATTTTCAGTATAAACATTAATAAAAAGTTTTACAAGTGTTTTTTATTGAAGTCTTTCAATTGTTGCTTCAGAAGGGCATTCCTCAGACGGAGGTTCTCAACTTCGAGTTGAAGTTTCTCTCTAGCTAGGTTACATGTAGCTGTAGTTTCTCTTGGAGAATTTGGCGGCATTGGGAAGGCCGAGATACCCAGTGACACGTCTTCTTGGATAATGGGCTGACTCGTGCACGTTGAGAGCTGTGGGTCGAGCTGAAAATCCTCCACCACTCGTCTGTTTAAAAATAATTTTTAAAGAATTATACTCGTCATTTATGAGCATCAAATTATCGATTTACTATTCAAAAAAAAAAATCAGCCAGAACAGTCAATATCGAGATTTTAAAAAAAAACAGTAATAAAGTTGACTGACACTTAAGAAAGCCTTACCCTTGCAGTGAACTCGATGGAATGTCTTCCATCCCCCTGTTGAAATTGTTAAACGCGGGTATGTTAAGGAAGCATATAAGTAATTTCTCGGGAAAATTAGACTTTTTGAAGAAAATTTAGTTTGATAAATTACCAAAACCACTGATAAACGTAAACTGTTATTTACTATTGCATACAGATAAAAGCGTGTCTAACGCAAAGATGTGCATCACCGCCACGGCATCACGTGACTTCTATTAATAGCAGAATTTTCCTTAATAAAAAAGCTTACAGAACAACAATACCCCGGAATTTAATAATTTCTTTGAGTAAATAATATAGTTGAAAAAAATCTATTTTGTCTAAAAAGTGCAGCTAGAATCCAACTGTCCCGTCAGTTAAATAATAATCCCACACATTCGCACAAAACCTTACTCGATGTTTTGAATGTTATACATATGAATCGAGATTTTTCGTAAAGCCTTGCTTAACTCGGGATTATAGCAGCACTTTCCAAGTTTGTCAAAACGCAAACTTTCAATCTGTGTAAATCGTATGTTTTGAAATATCCAGCTTATTGTTGTTCTGTTGCATTTTTTGGTCAAGAATGACGGACGATAGGCCAACCGGGATACGTAATATAGCTGACTGTCTTCGAAAGAGAATATAATCGATGAAAATAAATTAGCATACCTGTTTAATTTATTGAACTCCATATGAATTTAACACAATATTTCCGATATTTCCTTTTAAACTCCATTTTACGTATCTTTGAACATGCCGTCCTAGCCAAATTCTCTTTACACGACATGATCAATTTCCAAATTACTCGATGTACACATATGACGTCATCGGTGGTAGATTTCAATCATAATGACTGTTACAGCATAAAAATCAAAACATTTTATTTTTGTTAATGTTTACACGTTTCTAATCATTTTTTAGAGTTAAATTACATCGCTAAATATCAATATTACGAAAACCTGATTTCTAAAATTGACGTCATCTTGCCTACTATGACGTCATAATGCAGCACTGATTTAGCCAAGGTAGAATTAGGGAATAACTATCTTCTAATTTGGTATTTGCGACCGTTAATGCTGATTTAACGGTCGCAAACTGAGTTTTACCGGCGACGCGTAAGCGGAGCCGGTAAAACGGATGTTTGCGACCGTTAAATCAGCATTAATGGTCGCAAATACCAGATTAAAAGATTAGTTATTCCCATTCTAATGCAATTCATGTATTTTGTTTGTTGTTTACGTCTTATTTGGTTGAATTTTGTCACATGAAATACGTCAAGGGGCATTGTGTTTTTGCGTTGCTCTATTATGACGTCACAATGAAAAAAGCTTTCACGCTTGTTAATGCTCGTTTTACTGCTTCAAACATCAGTGCATTAGCCAATCAAAACTTGTTTTACAAAACAATTGCATTAGAATTAGGGAATAACTATCTTCTAATTTGGTATTTGCGACCGTTAATGCTGATTTAACGGTCGCAAACTGAGTTTTACCGGCGACGCGTAAGCGGAGCCGGTAAAACGGATGTTTGCGACCGTTAAATCAGCATTAACGGTCGCAAATACCAAATTAGAAGATCAGTTATTCCCATTCTAATGCAATCCATACATTTTTTTTGTTTACGTCTTATTTGTCGAATTTTGTTACATAAAATACGTCACGGGGCATTGTGTTTTTGCGTCGCTTAATTATGACGTCACAATGTAAAGCTTTCACTCTCGTTAATGCTCGTTTTACTGCTTCAAACACCAGTGCATTAGCCAATCAAAACTTGTTTTACAAAACAATTGCATTAGAATATCTTGTATGCTTCCTTATTCCCCCTGCGAACGTCATCAAAGAGGAATCAAAGGCCCCAGATATTCCGCAGATAGAAACATTTTCCTCACCAATTACCTCCTCAACTGCTTGTGACAGTGCACTTAATGGTTTCTCTGCCGGTCCTCCACCTATGTAAATTGAAGCATTTTGTTATTATTTAAAATTTGTTTTTTGTTGCTTTCAAAAAGATATATCCATTATTTCATGTATATAAAAAAGTTTACATTTTCTTTATCAAAAAATACCGGGGATCACTTTAGCTGAAATAGTAATATTTTTTTCACTATGGCTTGCTAATTTCGAGCTGATTGTAATTCACTATAGTATATGATTTTTTTTGTTTCTGAACAAATCATTATTATATAGATCTAGGCATTTGTTTGGAAAATCTAAAAGTTCTTCGCGGTGTGCACAATCTAATTAAAAGTAGATGTTAGATCCAATGTAAGTGTAGCGAGTATGTGAGAGGATCTAACATCTACTATTTATTAGATTGTGTAAAGTATTTTCGGTAAATGAAATTGCTGGTCGGGGGGGGTGGGGTTATAAAAAATAAAGGTATGGTTATATTCTCGCACGGGCCATTAGGGTAAACACAGTGAGACTATGACCTATAATATACTAATAAATCAAAATAAACAATCTGCATGATTACCAAGGTCGTCCAAATTTCCGTAATCTTTCCGTGCTAAAATAATTTCCAAATTTGACATAGTCTACTCTTTCAGTCTTTGACGCCTGTCTTTTGTCATTCGAATAGTCCTACGGTACATTATTACACATGTAATTTTGGTACTTCATAAAATAAATTTTTAATACATTATGAGTCTCTTGACTTGGAATATCAATTTCAGAATTTCACAGTTAGATCTACTGCTTACATCCCGTTATATATAATGCCTCAATACCGACAATAGAGTTATCACCCTTGTATCACTTGTATCTTAGGTACGGTAAACAACATGGCTGACATAACAAGCATACCAAGCATTTCACGAACCTGTTTTTTGCAAACTTCTTCTAAAATCAGAAATTTCTCCCCTCCTTTTCATGTGGATGTTGTGCCACTTCTTTTCGACTTCTTCTATAGTCCGGACGGTTGAAGGGTTGGCTGCATTAATTGCTTCAGTAATATTTTTCCATACTTCCCTTTTCTTTTGAGTGGTAACTCCGGCGCCGAATTTAGCCCTCAAAATTTTCTTATTATCGTTAAATAAACGCGTTAAATGTAAACATTCTTCCAGTGTCCAGTTTGGTTTACGTTTCTTCTCTGCCATATTCAGACGATGATGATGACGTAAAACGGGAGATTCAATATCGTCAAAACCCGCAATGACGTCACACCATTGTGACGTTTTATTTTAAGCAAGAAGTGATATGCTTTGCTATGATGCACTAAGTAATGCATTTAGAATTTTTATGCATGAAACTTAAAGTATGTTTCTTAGTTAAGCAGTTTGATCTGGGAATAAGTATAATACTTACTAAAAATTCTTAGATTTTTTATGCATATGAACCCAGGTCATAAAAGTTTAACTTAGAAATTAAAAACTGTGCTTCCTTATTAAAACAATTATTTTTTATAAGAGATTTAAGAAGCTCCGACTTTTACAAAGATTGGCGTAGATGCATTGTGACCCTATTACAAAGGTCATGATAGAGACAAATTCAAGGTCACATAAATCCAAGTTTACAGTTGGTAGGTTGGCTATAACTGTGTGTTTTCTGACTGGTACATGTACTCGCTACTTCAACCAAATGGTTGAAGAAAGGGTGTACAGTCAGTCATTAAGGATGTACAGTCAGTCATCAAAGGGTGTACAGAGTCAGTTATCAAGGGTGAACAGTGAAGTCATCAAGGGTGTACAGTCAGTCAAGAAAGGGTGTACAGTCATCAAGCTTACTGCTGAAGGCCTTCCACGCCCCCGAAAGAAACCAAAAGTATTTAAACTATTTCGCTAGTAGAAAGTATTGGTTTCACTTATATTGTTTTATAAAAGAATTGGGGTGTACTAACCGGCATTAAACTGAAGGTCCCGGGCTTGTTCTCCATCTTCGTAATAAACATTTGTAATGACGTCATCCTCGGCAGCTATACCACGTGTGATACAGAGTTGATCCGGGACGTCAGGAAAATGAACTCGAATACGTCCCTCTGGATATATCCACTCTATAAAACCAGAGGTGCAAGTCGAGTTTTTTGTTTGTATATCCTGAGTAAGAGGATTGTCACTACTCCTGAAAAAATAAAATATAACCATAGACTTTATAATTTATATTATTTTACTTACATACAGAATTCAATTTAGATCTTTATACATTGGTTGGTTTTTCTATGCCCCCGTAAACGAAGTTTCGGGGGTATATAGTTTTTGTCGTATCCGTCTGTCTGTCTGTCTGTCTCTGTTTGTCCGCATAAACTTTAACCTTGTCCATAACTTTTGATTTAGTGGAGCTGTGACTTTCATATTTCACATGTGTATTCCTTGTGACAAGACCTTTCTTTAGGTACCACCAAATGTAACCTTTTGAACTTGACCTTGGAATTTGACCCACTTTTACACAAAAATTCTACTTTTTACTTTGGCCATAACTTTTGAACAATAAATACCAGGACATTTATACTTCACATAAATATTTTTTGTGGCAAGACCTTTTAACGGATAAAACTAACCTTGACCTTCTGACCTTGACCTTGGAGATTTACGTACTGAAGAAAAAACTTTAACCTTGGCAATAACTTATGAACGGTAAGGGCTAGTGCTTTCATACTTCACATATGTAATCCTTGTAAAAAGACGTTTCATTGAATACCAAAAGCTTTGACCTTGACCTTGGAGTTTGACCTACTTTCAAAAAATAAACCTTGATGATATCTTTTAAAGGGTAAGAGTTCATACTTTATATATTTTATCCTTGTGACAAGACCTTTCATTTGATATTGAGACTTTTGACCTTGACCTACTTTTAAAAAATCTTTACCTTTGCCATAACTTTTGAACGGTTAGGACCAGAGCTTCCATACTTCACATGTGATTTTTTTGTAGCAAGAGCATTTATTGGATACCAATAACCTTGACCTTTTGACCTTGACCTTGGAGATTTCCGGACTTATGAAAAAACATTAACATTTGCAATAACTTTTGAAGAGTAAGGGCTAGGGTTTTCATACTTCACATATGTAATTCTTGTGACAGAACCTTTCATTCAATATCAGTAACCTTGACCTTCTGACCTTGATCTTGGAGTTTTACGTACTATAAAAATCTTTTTAACCTTGGCCGTGACTTTTGAATTGTTAGGGCTAGGGCTTCCATACTTCAAATATATGATCTTTGTGGAAAGACCTTTCATTGGATACCAATAACCTGACCTTCTGACCTTGATCTTGAAGATTTCTGTACTTATGAGAAAACTTTAGCCTGGTCATAACTTTGAAACAGATGGTGATAGGGTTTTCGTGTTTTACAATTGTATTTCCAGTTATGAGATCCTAGTTTGGGTACTAATATATTAATTTTGCATCTAAGAAAAGTTAGATCTTCACTATGTTGCAATACGGGGGCATCAGTGTTTCACAAACACATCTTGTTTTTAATAGAATACGCACGTGTTCTGGTAAAAAAAAAGTTACTTTATTAAACTCTTTGCAGTATTAACAATCAAAGAACACGATTTACTTGCAATTAAAGAATTGTATATACTAGCAGTGGCGGATCCACGGGGGGGGGGGTACAGGAATCGCAACCCCCTCCCTTTGTATTTGCAAATAAGAGAGAGAATAAGAATGTCCCAAATTTTTGTTGTATTTTTACTATAAAAATGTTCAGCAAAAGGCTAATGTTAATATATAAAGAAATTTGGTTGTGAGAACAAAATGAAACCCCATCCCCTTTACAACTTAGAACTTTCGGGTTCAGAGATTTATTGTCCCCCGCTTTCGCGAAAGCGAGGGGACATTAAATCTCATTCGTCTGTCTGTCTGTCCGTCTGTAGTCTGTCCCGTCCGTCACAAAAACTTTAACCTTGCCCATAACTTTTGATTCAGTGGAGCTATGACTTTCATATTTCATATGTGTATTCCTTGTGACAAGACCTTTCTTTGGGTACCACCAAATTTGACCTTTTGACCTTGACCTTGGAGTTTGACCCACTTTTACACAAAAATTCCAAACTTTTACTTTGGCCATAACTTTTGAATGGTAGATACTAGGAATTTCATATACTTATTCTTTGTGGCAAGACCTTTCATTGAATACCAACAACTTTGACCTTTTGACCTTGATCTTGGAGATTTCTGTACGTATGAAAAAACTTTAATAACCTTGAGCATAACTTTTGAGTAGTAAGAGCTAGGGCTTTCATACTTCATATATATAATTCTTGTGAGAAGACCTTTCATTGAATACCAAGAACTTTGCCCCTTGGACCTTGACCTTGGAGTTTGACCTACTTTTCAAAAACTTTGACCTTGGCCTCAACTTTTGAACAGTAGATACCAAGGCTTTCATATTTCACGTATGTATTTTTTGTGGCAAGACCTTTCATTTGATATGAACAACCTTGACCTTTTGACCTTGACCTTGGAGATTTTTTTGTACTTATGAGAAAACTTTAACCTTGACCATAACTTTTGAATGGTAAGGGCTGGGGCTTTCATACTTCACATATGTAATCCTTTTGAAAAGACTTTTCATTGAATACTAAGTACGTTAACCCTTTGACCTTGACCTTGGAGTTCAGTGATAATTTCTAAATAGATGACTTATGATAGGGCGTTCATATTAGACACAAAATGTCATAAAAAAATGACATCTCACCCAAAAAGATACCGAAAGCGGGGGACCACAATTCTTTGAATTTGCTTGTTTTCCTTTCTTTTTCAAAACTTTCAGGTAATTTATACACGTATTTTTCCCCCAAGTTGATCAACCTCCCAACTTTAAAAACCACACCCCAGCCTGCATCCTATTGAGTTATTTAATTACATGTAAGGAATGTTAAGAAAGTTTGTTCCATGATAAAATATATTCAAACATTTCAAAGTTGTGCTTAACTAAAGAGATGAATTTTCAAGGATGACAACATCACTAGACTGTGCTTTCGAGTTGTAGCAATTCATTTCTTGCAGAAAGTTATAGGATTTTTCTTCCATATGAAAATATATATAATATCTTCAAAGCACTTAAATGATAGAAAAGCTGGTCATTTTGAGTGAAAATAAAGGATAATTTACTTTGATTAACATTTTGTTTCTTTAAAGCTTATCTTGCATTAGACAAGCTGATGAGCGTAGGTATAAGAAAGATAGATCAACTTTCAAAAGAATCGGTTTGTCAATTTGAAGCTTTCCCCCGATATGGTATTTTTTGCATATAGTTTTTGAAAGGATGTTTTAACCTGTGTGCTTAATTTATTACACAAATATATGTGTCATCCCTAATGTTTCTGCACACGCGATTCATCAAAGGACAGTTAAAACCTAATTGATCATTAGCAATAAAGGACTCTTTAAACATGAAATATCACAAATTGTAAATGTCTTCTTTTCTCATCGTATTTCTTTTCGAAAATAAAAGAAAATTGTTGAATAAACATTCTTAACATCCTTTATATATGTAAAATGTAGGTTATAATAACTCTCTTCCTCTTCGACCCCCCCCCCCTCTCAATCCCCACCCCTTTGAAAATTTTTTTGATCCGTGCCTGTAGTAGTATACATGTATTTTGTTGAATGAGTCCTGAATTTTGTTGAATTAAGAAATAGCTTTATTATAAATATTATGTCAACAACTTACTCACCAAAACTGCACTGTACATAAAAGGCGATCCCTTAACTGAAATGCTGTAGAAAATCCAGCTAGAAATAGTAGGAAGACGGTCGTATACAGCATAATTCACAATAAGTCAGTTATATAATCGGTGATATCAAATTAATAACAAATTGACAACAATTGCACTGCGTCAACCTTCAATTACATTATGTCAACTCCATATGACAGTTACTCACACAATTATTACATTGTGTTAACCTTCTATTACATTATGTCAACTCTACATGATATTAACTCATACTACTATAGCATTGTGTGAACTTTCCTTTACATTATGTCAACTCTTTATGACATTTACTCCCACTATTATTTTATTGTGTCAACCTTCCATTACATTATGTCAACTCTTTATGACATTTACTCACACTACTATTGCGTTGTGTCAACCTTCCTTTATATTATGTCAACTCTTTATGACATTAACCCACACTACTACTGCATTGTGTCAACCTTCCATTATATTGTGTCGATTCTTTATGATATTATCCCACACTACTATTGCATCGTGTAAACCTTCCTTTACATTATGTCAACACTTTAAGACATTTACACATTCTTGCATTTCGTTATGTTTACTGTTCATGACATTTAATTAAACAACAATTACATTGTGTTAACCTATCATTACATTATGTCAATTCTTTATGATATTAACTCACACAACTATATTATGTCGATTCACTATTACGTTATGCGAACACGGGTATCCTCGGCCTTTATATGAGCAAACCGTATTTTCCGCAATCGGCAATCCTCGGCTGACTCCGCTACGCTCCATTCAAACGTTATGTGGATCCGGGCCACAATTAAAGGGTGAAGGTCAAATGCCTAAAATGTAGCACATGTAGGAAATTCATATGCCTCCCTTTCAATGATAAA